TGTTGCAGATATGTCTCACTGAGGAAGGGTTGGAAAAACTGAATAAGCCCCACACAGGTGTGTTTATGCAGAGTGAGACCTCTCTCTATCAACAGCAGCTCCATCCACAGGGCAGTGCAGGGAAACCCCAGTGCCAGAGATGGGCAGGCTGCACCCATGGAATGTGCTGCTGCACCCATGGAATGTGCTGCTGCACCCATGGAATGTGCTGCTGCACCCATGGAATGTGCTGCTGCACCCACAGAGCCTGCAGGGAGCACCCAGGGGACCCTCCCAGCACCGGGAGCCCCCTGGGCAAGGGCAGCTGCTCCCTGAGGCTCCCAAGGGACAGAGCCCAGGGCTCCTCCCCTGCAAACCTCCTGCCACCCCCCTGCCATCTTCCCTTCAGTCACTGCTCTCACACCCCAACCCTGCCAAATCCTTTCATTTACCATCATCTTCTTCATTTTCTTCCCCAATCACTCCGTGCCCAGAGTAATAAAATCAATGATCAATGTACCACCAAGGAAAAGCAGAGATCCAGTGTCACAGAAATCTTTTATGAAAAATCCTTCCCTTAGGATTTTTCCTCCTGAGCAGCTAGAGGCCTCAGGAACAAAATGTGAACATTGATTATCTGCTGCTGTGGAATGCAACAGGTGCATCTGGGATTGGTCCCATGTGGTTGTTTCTAATTAATGGCCAATCACAGTCAGCTGGCTCGGATACAGAGCCTGAACCACAAGCTTTTGTTATCATTCTTCCTTTTTCTATTCTTAGCCAACCTTCTGATTAAATCCTTTCTTTTATTCTTTTAGTATAGTTTTAATATAATATAATATATATCATAAAATAATAAATCAGCCTTCTAAAACATGGAGTCAGATCCTCATCTCCTCCCTCATCCTCGGACCCCTGTGAACACTGTCACAATCCAGGGGAGCCCCAGCCCCCTCTGATCTCCCAGCTCTGCTTTTCATGGCTTTGCCACGAGCTCTGCATTTCCAGGCCATGGCTCCCAGTGCCAGGAGTGCTCCCTTGGACCCCAAATCTGCACCAAAATAGAAATTTGGGCTAAGAGCTTGAGAACAAACCTATGCTAAGCTCAGCCTGGCAAACAGGGGCATTCATCTGTTTTTTCCCTATTTTTGGATGCTGTGATGGGTCCATGGAGCCTGGGGGGAGGTTTGGAGAATGGAAGCAAAAAAGAAAGTTCAAATTGTCACCCAAGCTCTGCACTTCACTCAGGCTTCTCATGCCCCTGTTATTGATTTTTAGTTTTCTGGTGCCACCAGGCCCCAGCCTTTGGTGGGATAACCTGAGCCTGGCCTGGGGCAGGGAGGAGGTGCCTGCATGGACAGTGCAGCAGCAACTGAGGAGCTGCAGCCCTGAGATGTGAAGATCAGAGAATTGTGGAATTGATTAGCTTGGAAAAACCCTCTAAGATCATCAAGTCCATCCCTAACCCATGTTCCAACATGCACACATTGTCTGAACACTTGCAGTGATGCTGACTCCACCTCTTCCAGTGCCTGAGCACCTTCTCTATGAAGAGATTTTCCCAATATCCCAAAACTCCCTTGGTGCAGCTTGAGGCCTTTCCCCGTGTGCTGTGCCTCCTCCAGCAGCAGGAGCTGCAGCACAAACCCCCAGGTCCTGCTCCCCCAGCTCTTCTGGCTGGCTCAAGGCAAAGCTTGTTTTGCTTCCTTCCCCTCTGACTCTGTTTTATCATTTACTAAATCATAAAAAGAAGGGAAAAAGCCCCTTTTGGTATTGAGATGTGGCAGCTCCTTCACACACTCATGGATGTAGACAGGGAAGTGACTGCAGCAGTTTCCCATCACTTTCTGACTTGAAATACCCCAAAAAAGCTACAAAATGCTCACCTGGGTCAGTCAGGGAGTGAATTCCCAACCTCTCCAAGTCCCAAATCTTTTCCACAGCAGCATCCAGCCAAGCCCATTCTCCTGCACCAGCTACACCCAGAGAACTCAAGCAAGCTAAAACTGGAATAAACTCCACCAGCAACCTCAAGTGAGAGCTGAGCCATGAGCAGCAAACCCATCTCAAACACAGCTCAAGTCAAAAGGAAACAACCACATTTCAATTTGGATTTCTGATTTCTGTTTCTAATCACACCAGCCTCTTCTGAGCACCCATTTCTAAAATAAAATCCACACTCCCCAAGCCACTTCATAAGTGAAGGGGCTTTAGGCAGATTCAAATTTAAGAAAAAATTGCATTTTTGGAGCTCAGGTTAGAAGACAACTGCTGTTCTCAAATGTGCTTTGTGAGGATCAGAAGCAACAAAGTGACTCCACAGCCTCACTCAGAAAGAAAAACCAGAGAAAGTCTGTGCAGGAAGTGGGAAATGGAGCAGCAATTCCAGCAGGGAATAGCTCCATGTGCCACAGCACTTGGGGAAAAAGCACAAGCTGACAGTGTATTCCAAAATCCTGCCCAAAACACTTTGAGGGGCTGTTTTCTGTCTCCTATAAAGTGAGGGTTTCCTGCAGATTCTCAGTGTGTGATCCCAGAATCAGGGATTTCTGATGCACACTTAACTTCCAGTCAGAACTGCTGCAATGATTTCATTTCCCTTCAGCCACTATTGGTAACACCCCAAATCTTTGCTATTCTCTCTCTCACAGAGGGGTCACACTTCCCTCAGCATTAACTGGCTCCAACTCCCACTGTCACTGTCCAAATCCAGGCATTTCCATCCAGGAAAAACCCTGCTCCTAAAGCTGGCAGTCAACTTCAGGTGCTTAAATCATGCTCATTTGAGGACCTTAAAGATCTAATAATTACAGGCAGTTACACTGAAGAACAATCCATTATTTGCCTGAAGGAGACCCAGAATCAATACAAGGCACAAGTTAATAAAAGCTGGGATGGACACAGGGAATTGCAAACCCCACAGTGCTGCTGCTGCCTTCAAAGGGAAGGTGGAGTTGCTGCAGTAAATATTAGCCCTGCTGAGGCCAATTTACTTATTTAGCATTTTCTAGCTTATGAATCTCAGTCTCAAAGCTCTCAGCTTGTGTTACACAGTTTAACCAAATTTAAAAACTCTCCTGTGAGGATAATTATTTCTGCTGGTCTCGAGCACCCTGTGAGTGCTGGGTTTAGGATGAAATTCTCCCACAGCTGTGACTCTCCTGCACATGGCAGGGGTCAAAATCCCTGCCTGCACCCCCAGTCCACACCATGGGTGTTTTGGGTTAAAGGAAACAAACAGCTCATCCACAGCCCAGGTGTCTCTGTGCCTGTCCTGGTGCAGCACATGACAGATGGAACTGGGAATAAAGCTTGGAATATTTTCCTAATGGTGACAGCTTCTCACAGATCATTATAAGCAGATTCAAATGTAACAGAGACAAAAATCTAACTGTGATAAAATCAGGAAACACTTGGGATTTACAGGCACAGCAAGGGCAGAGCCATAACTGGGTCCAAAGGAAAGTTTTGGATCCCATTCTGACAGACTGGTGGCCAAGTCCCACCAGTAAAGCTCCAGTAATGGGAATTCATGGGAATCTTTCCTCCAAGGCTGTGCTGCCTCAAGACTCGTGGGCCAAAACCTGCTTAAAGAAAGCTCAGTAAATTTTAGGAGAGCATGAAATGGCTCCCAGTGAACCCATCCCTTAGGAATGACCCATGAAGGAACTGAGGAGCTGCAGAGCAGGAATGCACTCTGCATTGTGCAGTGCAAACACTGACCCTGAAATTCAGTCAACAACAAAAGCATCTAAACAAGATCCTGATGCCCCCATCGTTGCCCAGGCTGCCCCTGCAGACATTCCTGTCACAGAAATCACTGTCCCAAAGGTCCCATGCCACCTTTGCCTGTGAGCCCACAGCTCAATGGCCCATTCTACTCCTTACACTCCTTTTGCTGCCCTGCTCTGGAAGGTTCCAGCTCCCCTGCTGCCCCCTGAGCTGGGAGGAACAAGGATCATGGGGATTTTGGGGCTGTGCCCACCCAACACTTACCCCACACTGCTCATCCCAGCGTTCAACTGCTCAGGAACACAACTGCAGTGAGAACACAATAATTCCCTGGAACAAACCTTCCATGCCTCAAGCCCCTGTCCTGACACCACAGGATTTATGGGATTTTCTTTTTTCTATTAACTTGTGGAAGCAACCTCTTGTCTCTTCCAAGCCAAAAGAGCTCTGGGAGAGCTCCCCTGCCTTGTCCTGCCTCTCCTCCTCCTTCCCACCAGCAATGCCACCTCTGCTCCCTCAAAACCTACAAGAAGCATCAAAATCAGTTCCCAAGGATAAGTGTTTTGGGAAAGAGGAGTGTAGGAGCTGAAGAAAAGACAATTCCAGACAGCCTGACTAGGACAGCCAGGCCTGTGCATCGGTCCTGGCACTGGAGAAGTCCCAGCTCTGCCACCCCTGAGTTCCATAAGCCACAGCCATTCCTAAATCTCCTTCTGAATAATGAGGTGGCTCCTCACAAAGTCCAAGTGGTGCAACAGGAACACTAAAAGTTTCCCACAGGTCTGGCTTTTGTGGGCTAAGTGAAAAGGACACTGAGCAATGCCATGGTGACAGATAACCAGGTGTATCACACAACAAAGGGAAGTTGTTTGCTTTGCTCCAAGGTGACATCTTCAGGAAACTGAAACCACTGACTCGTGTGGGGAACACTCAGAACACGTTTTTAGTGATGTGAGAAGGCAAGGGAAGCCCACACACCCCTGGCAATGGCTCCCAGAGGTTCTCCTGCCCTGGGCTGTGGGTGGTTGGTGGCAGCAGTGACCCAGGGGACATCAGTGTCACTCAGGGTGCAGGTGGCTGTTAGCAGGGTTAGGCACGTGCCAGGAGCTGCTGCAGGGCTGCTTCCTCCTCTGAGTTAGTGAGTGAGACACCTCCACCCCCACCCCCCAGGCAATTAGTGCAGGGTGATAACAAGGGGCAGGTACTGTACCTGGTGATGGGCAGGTCGAGGCCCCGCTGCAAACTGAGGGAAGGCGGGAGAAACAAACACAAAAGGAAAGGCACAAAGAGTCAGAAACACCACAACGAACCAAAATGTCACACTCTATGCAAAAATAAACCCACAGAAAATAAAAGAACAACGACACAGTCAAAAGCTTTGCTGCAGGACAGCGACACACAGGGGCTGAGGTGTCACGATGGACATTGCTGGGGGCACTGTGCTGGCAGCTGGACAAACAGCCAAAGCTGCCCCGCATCCTAAAGGCACTCAGGGATGCTGGCACTCCTTATCCTGCCCGGGAGGAACACACCAAACCAAAAACCAACTGAGAACCAGCAGCAGTGGAGATTCTGAACCGGTTGAGGTGGAGAGCAATGGTCAGAGCAGCTGGGCTGGAGCAGAGGATGGAGCCCCATGGCTGGGAGGAGCGAGGGAGAGACAGGGACATTCCCTGCAGATGGACAAATCTGCAAAGGGACATCCCTGCACAGAGATACCTCTACACAGGGACATCCCTGCAAAGGGACATATCTGCAGAGGGACAGGGACATCCCTGCACAGGTACAAATCTGCAAAGGGACATCCTGCATCCCTGCAAAGGGACATCCCTGCACAGGGACAAATCTGCACGGGGACATCACTGCATAGGGACATCCCTGCACAGAGATACCTCCACACAGGGACATCTCTGCATGGGGACATCCCTGCACAGGTACAAATCTGCAAAGGGACATCCTGACCAGGGACATCCTGACCAGGGACATCCCTGCACAGGGACAAATGTGCAAAGGGACATGCCAGGTAGAGACACCCCTGCACGGGGACATCCCAGCACGGGGACCTCTGCACAGGGACAAATCTGCAAAGGGACATCCTGACCAGGGACATCCTGACAGGGACATCCCTGCAAAGGGACAAATCTGCAAAGGGACATCATGACCAGGGACATTTTTGCACAGGGACACCCCAGCACAGGGACATCCCTGCAAAAGGACAAATCTGCATAGGGACATCACTGCACAGGGAGAAATGTGCAAAGGGACATCCCATGATAGAGACACCCCTGCACGGGGACATCCCAGCACGGGGACCTCTGCACAGGGACAAATCTGCAAAGGGACATCCCTGCACAGGGACATCCTGACCAGGGACATCCCTGCAAAGGGACAAATCTGCAAAGGGACATCTCTGCATGGGGACATCCCTGCACAGGTACAAATCTGCAAAGGGACATCCTGACCAGGGACATCCCTGCAAAGGGACAAATCTGCACGGGGACATCCCTGCAAGGGGACAAATCTGCAAAGGGACGTCCCAGGATAGAGACACCCCTGCACAGGGACATCTCTGCACAGGGACATCCTGACCAGAGACATCTCTGAGAGGCAAAGAGCAGCCACTCCTGGCACGGCCACCCCTGCCACTGCATTTCCAGCTAACTCCTCACTGGGGTCACAGCACAGCCCCTGTGAGGGGTGGCATGTGTCACCTCTCTGAGAGCCAAGGCCCAGCCCATGCCAGTCTGGCTGGAGAACAGCAGGTCCTGGGTCCCAGCCCTGAGCTTGGGTCACTGAATCACCTCCCACTCACTTGGGCCACAAGCAGAGGAAAATAACCCCAATTTAACATGCTCAGCTGACATTAAAAGCATTTCCCAAGAAGGAACTGATTGTTAAAATAGAAATAAAAATGAATGCAAGAAATGGAAAATATAAATAAAGATGACAAGGTATACCCACTTCCAGAGCTGAGTTAGGTGTTGAAACCCATAATTCTCAGGGTTAGAGCAGAGAATTCTACTGAAAAGAGCTCCAATAATTAACTGCAGTGACCACAGCTACATCCATAGTGGATTTTAGCCACCACGTGCTGTGATGGCTCAGCACAGCCACCTCTGCTCACACTCAGGGGCTCATTGTGCTTTACTTTCTGCCTCAAAACAGTGATCAAAACTGGGTACTAATTAGTGACTTTCTTAATAAGTTTATTTTCTCTATGGAAAAGTGGGCCTGGGCTCACTTGCAGCCCTTACAGCTCCTCTAATGCCATCAAACATAAAGCAAAGCATAAATATTGACTGGTCCATTTGATCTTTTCCTTTATAAACACTTAAATTGCCTAGATTTCAAGATTTCCAAGAACTACTCTGCTAATCCTGGTGTTTATATATTCCTTCTACCTTCACCTCATGGTGGCACTTGGTGACACTTGGATGAAAGTCATAAAAACCTTCAGAAATGAGTAAATATGGACACACAGACTGATCCTGGGACAAGAGTTTATTACGAATGACCTGCACTGGTTCACCAAATAGTTTTCTCACCCTGGAAAATTTTCCCTAAGCTTTACAATGAAGAGTAAAAAAGCAAAGCATGGTCACCCAGTGGAACTAAAAAGCTGTAATTTTTATTTTAATGAAACAGAAGAACTCAGAGCCTCTTGGCATTCTCCCAGTGGCTCTGTGGATGAGGAGAAGCAGGTACCTGGATGAGTCTCCAGAGATAAAAGCACTTCAAGTCCTTATTTTCTCCTAAACCAGCTCAAATATCTTGTGTTTGGGAAAAGGGACTAAAGGTACCCAGGAAGGGCTGAGCCTTTCCATAGGTTCTGTGTTAGACACCAATGAAAGAAAACAGCCAAAAAGAGAATGCTGGGATGCAGAAAACTTGAACTGCTCCACTTCAGGGCCAAGGCACCTCTCTGATCCCTGTTGCACAGAAAAGATTTGTTCTCACTGCACCTAAAACAAGAGCTGGATGTTTGTATCTGAAGAAGCCAAAGTTTATTCCATGGTGGAAAGTAATGTGTGTTACAAGAAATAAAATAAAAGCTCCAAGTTAGTGAAAAATGCCCTCATCTATTTTGCACTGGTCACCACTGGCTCTTGATTTGAAATTTTTTTTTAATAATTCTGTTTGATAGGAATTATTCCTGTTAAAAGCTGTAAGCAACAGAACAAACTGTAGCAGTCACTGATGGCTTAAAAGAGACACTTTGGGTTGTTTTTTCTCTGTCTGATGAAGACAGTAGATAGGAAAACTTTACAAATCCTGGGTGCAACTTCCCTGCCCCATGGCCCCCTCCCTACAGTCCTGCTCCATGGACTCAGACTCAGGAATGTTCTCTCCCTGCAGATGTTGGGCTGGCACACCTCACCCCTCCTGGAGCTATCATTTTTTGGCAGAAGTCTTAAAATTGGACAGTTTGTGTTGAGATGGGGGCTGGCATGGCCAAGAGCTACTGGGGAATTTTCAGCAGTGCTGAAGGACCCGGATTTTGTTTTCCTTGCCCAGCTGGAGCTTTGCAATTCTGGCTGTGGGAGCAAACACAGATTGCAAAGGCAGCTGTGCTGGGGGAGCAGAAAAACTGAGCTCTGCAGCCCAAAAGGCCTGAGTTTTTCACTCCCAAAATCCTGAGCTCTGAACCCCAAAATCCTGAGCTCTGCATCCCCAAAGGCCTGAGCTCTGCACCCCTAAAGGCCTGAGCTCTGCACCCCAAAATCCTGAGCTCTGCACTCCCAAAATCCTGAGCTCTGCATCCCTAAAATCCTGAGCTCTGCATCCCCAAAATCCTGAGCTCTGCACCCCCAAAGGCTCCTGGATGCAGAGCAGGATGGAGGAAGCTCTGCCTCTGGATCAGCCCTGCCTGCCCACTCAGCTGTGCCAGAGCACAGCAGGAACCCAGGGATGGCACAGCCACCCTGCTCATCCCCTCCTCACCTTCCCCTCACCACCAAATGGGTTAAAAAAGAAACTGAACAAAATAAGAATTAAATTACAAAGAAATAAATCAAGCAAAGAACCAAATGCAGGAGTAGCTCAGGCCTGGGCTAGTCTTGCATTTGCTTTGGGGTGGGAGGTGGAATGAGATGTGATGGGTGGGAGCAGCTTTTAGTCATGGGGTGAGATGGGCACTAGCAGAGCACATGGCAAAACCTGCACACAGGAGAGCTCAGAGCAATACAAACAAGGTGCAGATAAATTCTTCCTTGGGACCTCCTCAGTTATGGGGCCAAATTTGACATTTACTGGCCAAATTTCCTGCAGATTCTCTCTCTGCTGAGTGACACAGCCCAGGGGGCCCTGTCTCTGTCCTACCCCAGGTCAGACCCCTCTGTGGTTCAGCTTTGGGCCCTTGTGGCACCACCTCACCTGGCAGAGGCTGCCACGGCAGCTCGTGCTTTCAGCAAGAAGCAAAACCAGTGCATTTCTGTAGCCAACAAAAAAAGGATGTGGTAAAAAAATATATATAATAAAGAAAGGAAGAAGAAATAAAAACAGTGCCGTGGGCACAATTGCCTGCAAGAAGGAGTACAGTTTGTTATATTGCTTACAATGCAGTATTTTATCCAGCCTCTTCCAGCCAGGGACCTGTAAACCGGACTCTGTTCCAAAACCTTCCTCCTCTTCCAGTTTTCTGTGCAATGTATTGGCACTGTTCTGCTGGGCTGTCAAAAAAACTGGTTTAGAGATGCAGCTCTTCAGTCAAGTTTTTGCTCCAGTTCTAACCACACCAGCTTAGCTGTGCTTTGTAACAATTAAAGAGAAAGATGATTATACTTACTGAGGAAAGAGCTTTAGCAGCAGTGTCCTGCATTACTGATCAGAATGGGGCACTGAGGACAAATTCCCAGCTGGGCACATCAAAGAACTTCAAAGTCAGCATTACCTGGCATCAGCAGAGATTGAGGGGCCTCAGAACAAACCCTGGCATGTCCTGGAGGGGAAACCTCCAGAGCTGGGCAAGTGCCCAGTGATGCTGCAGGTTTGGGGATCCTTGCCCTGGGTTTATCTGTATTTATATCTGTTTTGTAGACAAACTCCTCTGTCTCAGAGGCTCCAGGAGTGTTTGCCTTACTCTAAAGAGAGAAGAGTGCTGGGAAGGCACCAGGGGGGTTCTGGGCAGCCTGAAGGTGTCCTGACACAGAGGGGCAGGAGGTGCAGATGCTGCTCCCCAGCTGGCAGAGCCCTGAGATGTGCTGATGGGAAGCCACCATGCCTCCAGAAGCTGGGCAAAGCCTCTGATGCCCTAGGAGGGTCCTCTAACGTCATGTGGAGCTGTGCTACAAGCAGAGAATCCCCAGGTGTGGGGAACTGAAGTCCTACAACAGCAGAGCAGTATCACAATAAACACCCACCCCCAAAAAACAGACTGTGAAGGATGATCAAACCTAAAGCTGGATGAAAAGGGGGCTCAGCACAAAAAGATCTGAGTGCACAGAAGCTCTAGATTACACGTGAGCACCTCCAGGGTTAGAACTGATCAGTGGCACTGATTTGGGAGCAAAGCCCAGAGGCCACTGGAGAGCGAGTGCTGCTGCAGAGAACTGCTTGTGTTTGATCTCTGGTCTATCCCTGCACAAAACACATCCTTAAAGAAAAAAATAAAAAGGAAAAAAAAAGAAGAAAAGAGAAAGATTCTGGCAATGAACCTGAACTCTCTAATGAAGTGAACCTGAAAGCATCTAGGCTAAAAATAAATGGTGTTATTTGAAAGTAGATGAGAATCCCTCCATTGCTTCTTTAGGAACCTCAGAAGGAAAATTATCCTACCAGGGTAGTGTCTGAAAAAACTCAACCAAGGTTTGCCGTTCAGGATGTGCTTCCAGGTCAGTAAAATGGGCTTTGCAGAGAACCAGCCCCGTGCTACAGACACACACAGACAGAGAAACACAGAGCAAGGAGAGAGAGCAGGATGGGGCAGCGTGGGCTCCTTACCGGCGAGCGGGTCTGAGGCTGAGTGTTCATTGTTTGAGGGGCTTGAGGGTACACCAGCGTGGTGGGAGCTGCATTCTGTCCTGAGGGATAAGGAGCCTGCCAGGGAACAAGAAAAGCCAAGTGAGTGGATCCAATGATTCATCCCAAAAAGCAGGAACAGAACACCTTATCAACTGGAGGGACTGACATGGAGATAAAGATGAAAAGATTGCAAGAGAGAAACCATCTCTGTCGAGGAGCAATTCATCAACACTGCCTCTCATGGGAGCAGCCTGTAGAGCCACTAGCTCCACTAGTAAGTAACAGCTCCAGTAGTAATTATTAGTCAGAGTTTACTACTATTTTAAAAGTCAGAGTTTGCTGCTATTTATCACCTGAGTGATATTTATCACCTCCCCAAGTGCTGCAGGGGGAAACAACCCAGGAGACACATGGGTGTCACCAAAACCCTGTGTGTCCAAAGGCATGGCCACCTGTTTCCAAAAGCCCCCCTGAACCAGCTTCCAAGGACAGCCAGACCTGTAGATGATGCCAATAAATCCTCCAAAATCAGGCAAACAGCAAGAAACAACTTTGAGTGTGTTTAACAGAAGCTGCTGCTGCATTAAAGCATTTCCAGTGCAATGGAACAGCCCAAAACCATCCCAGATGGGAGGCAGGCCATGGCTACAGCTCTGCACATTTTTCCTACTTCCACCCATTTCCATGGGCTGTAACAATTTATCCCACCAGATGCTCTCCCCAAGTGTTATTTGCCCAAAGTAACAATAAACTGGAGCTCTGCTGATGACGCATTTTAATGAGACATTTAGAAATAACTTTTCAGAGCGCCTTTTTCTTTATTCTTTTTGAACAAAACCGTTATAATTTACATTATCATTTTAAAAAATCATTTATTATTGTAATGGCACAAAAACCAGCCACCAGCCTGCAACAGCCTTTGCTCTCAAGAACCACGGGATGGTGGAATTGGTAATGTTGGAAAAGCTCTCTGAGATCTTCAAGTCCAACTGTTCCCCAGCAGTGCCACCACTAAATGTCCTCAAGAGCCACAGCTACACATCTTTTAAATCCCCCCAGGGATGGGGACTCCACCACTGCCCTGGGCAGTCTGTGGACTGGATAACCCCTTCCATGCAGGAATTTTCCCAATATCCCAATGATGTAACTTTGAGGCCGTTCCCTCTCTCCTGTCCCTGTTCCCTGAGCACAGCCCGACCCCTGGGCTGTCCCCTCCTGTCAGGG